AACAAGCTTCTCTAGAAGTCATGAAATGTTTCGTGTCACAGAGTTGCCGCAACCTCTTCAAGGGATTGAAGTTGTGTCGTTAAGAGTAAATCTAAGGGACAGAACATGCGACTGCGGGTTTTTTCAAGCTCTGAAGTATCCATGCTCTCATGTGATAGTAGCTTGCTCGCATTTACGTCAAGACTATACCGTTTTTTGGATCCCGTATACCTACTATCTGAAGTTTTTAATGTATACGAATTTGAGTTTCCCCCCATAGGTAATGAAAAAGACCCTGATGAGGTTCAAGATTGGCTTCCGATTGTACCAAATCTGAGTTTATTAAGTGAGTGTGGTCGTCCAAAATCCAATTGAATTCATTGCGATATGAATATTCGAGAAAGATCTAGACAAGACAGAAGATGTGGGCATTGTAGAAACGCAGGACACACTAGAAAAACATGTCCACTTATGTTGTCATCAAGTAACAATTGATGAGGAAATGATGTAGTTGTTTATCAAATAATAATTCTTGTACTTTACTTTGCATTTACTTCAAGTTAATGTTATTCGATAACCGCTGATGAAGAATAAAAAACGATACAATTATACGAGATTAGACGTTGGCGTTATATTAACGAATAATTGATATTAACGATACAATAAGTATTAAATGATAACCAAATTACAATAACTTATATTAAATGATAAATTAACAAAGTAAGTATTAAATGATAAATAAAAAATTACAATAAAAAAGTCCAATAAACAACTACAATAAAAAAGTACTAAATACAAGTATAAAAAAAACAAAATCTATCGATGCCTGCGACGCGAATGTGTTCCGCAGGGTGGTGGCTGTCAGTCTCGAGGAGGATTTCTTCGTATCACTGGTTGTGACTCCTCGTTGTCATCGTCGTCGCCGTCGTCGTCGTCATCATCCTGAGCAGCTATATTTTGTTGATGAGGAGCTGATGACGATGAAGCACCTCCATAGAATAAGGACCCTCGAGGTGTACGACTGACTATCCGAACGTCCTGCGAAAACCGGGAAAACTCATAAAACCCAGACATCGTTGAGTGTGAAAACTGTACAGGAGGTGTCTGTGCTGCGGTCATGGGTGATGAGGCTGAACCCGCCAAATATCCAGTATATGAACCCCAAGTCGGATCTGCAAACATAGACCCATAATAGCCTCCAGAGGGTCATATAACTATGTGACGGTGGCGGCGGCGGGTCATAAAACTAGGTGAAGGTGGCGGTGGCGGTGGCGGTATCTGGTAATGGAAAGGCGGTGGAGGCATCATATATGGATGTGGTATATAAGCCGGTGATACATTGGTTGTTGTGAAGGTCCTGCTGGTGCAGTTGAGGATGAACCGGAAGCACCTGCTCTCCGTCCATGAGTCGGGGGACGATGGTGCTGTGTCAGTGAACGTCTCTGTCGACGTCGCGGAAAGATCTGCCCTCGTGCATCCTCGGGAAGTAGAAACGGTTTCCCGTTACTGTTGAACCACTCGTAATAACCGTCAGTAACCATCAAGTGGTCAAGTAAAATGGGCTCTCTACGGGGAAGGCGCCGATGTCGATCCTCCCACAACACGACCCACGCATGATGCCTCACCAGCCAATCTGTATATGTCTTGTCGCGTCTATCTGTGCTATGCAACTCATCCATATTGTGAGGTGCTTCTGGAATTGGTTGAAAACAACCAAATTGTCGGAGCACTCGATCAGTGGAGTGCCACTCGTCAGTCGTATAACATATTGTTGAAAACATTTTGATATTTCGATATAACAAATTAAGTTAAATGAATTTTAAGATTTTCCAAAATGATTTTCCAAGTATATTCGATATAATTATTCGAATATCAAAACATTACTCAAAATATTTCAAAAATCATTTTTAATCCTTACTTAAGTGTAAAATTAAGTTTTAATCTTAAAACAATTTCAAAATAATCTTTCAAAGTATTTCGAACCATTTCAAAGCCAAAAATTCCAGATTGCTCAGAGGGAACCGATTCCCCCCCAAGGGGGTACCGATTCCCCCTGAATGGTTTGGCTCCGAGATTTCCAGAATGCTCGGAGGGAACCGATTCCCCCATAGGGGGTACCGATTCCCCCCTGTTCAACGGTCGAAATATTTGAATTTTACACTTAGGGAACCGATTCCCCATAGGGGGTACCGATTCCCCCCACGCTCCAAACTGTTTTATTAATTGTTTTCACACTAAAACGGCTATATGATCTTCACTAATCATCCCCAATGTTCAGAAGAGATTCAAGGTGTATTTAAACAAGTTCTGAAGCCCTTGATCAACAAGAAATCATAGAAAAACAAGAGAGAAAGCATCAAACACCAAGTTTGTGCAAATCAAGCCAATTTTCCTTTCAATATTCATTTTGCTTTCAAGAACACCATTTGTGCTCGTGTAATTATCTTTGAGTGTTCTTTTCTTGTTCTATAATTGTGCAAACATCTTACCTTGTGAGGTTTTCTTGTAAGTTTGCAAATTTGTAATCTTCTCTTTGGGAAAAAGAGTGTTCTCAAGAGTTGGGGTATACTCTTGAGGGATTTGTAAGGTTATCTCTTTGGCCTCAAAAGAAAGAACAAATTAGTGAATTTGTTGGAAAATCCTTAGTGTGGATAGTTAAGGTAGTGGACGTAGACTTTGTTTGAGAAAGTCGAACCACTGTAAATCGTTGTGCAATTACTTTCAATTTTTCTGCAAAAGCTTCCACGAAATTTTTAATTGCCAATTCACCCCCCTCTTGGCCGATTCCGTCGATCGATTAACTCAACAAATATCAAATGGACTATCGCCATCAAACATTTGATGGGCCCCTCAACTCATGTGGGATCACCGCCCTCACATCATCAGTAGAATATGGCACCCATTCAAACTAAAACAAATATATATAATTTTTATCAAAATAATAATATAATTATATAACTATAATCTAAAATCGATTTTTAAACATTAAAATTCATACTTTTGTGTCATCCTTCTGATCGATTAACACCCTAATTTTTTTCTAAATCATCAGGTAGCTCTTGATGATTTTTCCTATCAGTAGACCACCTATTCAAGAAAAATAATTTCTTATTCACTGTATAAAATTATTAATATACAAAATCAGTTTTATAATTACCTCAGGAGTAGCGGAAATACGAATGGGTTCTTGACAACGGGACATAAAAGGACAATCGATACCATGCCCAATACTGCAGCAGCAGGAGACATCCGCCGATAGTATTACGCCTGTAGTCAATGGCTCGACACATCTCCCTGTACAGGCAAGCCAAAACTGTCGAGCCTCAACTGAGTGATCCGGCCAGATGAAAGTCGCCAAGATGTTGCAACCACATACAGTGAACTTGGTTGTGCGATTTGTCCGGCATCAGCAACCCTCCTATCAGTTGTAGTATGCATGCCCGTGCATACTGTTTAACTTCATCGTCAGACGCGTCCTAGCTCAACTCCTGAAAATTGGCATCTAACTAATTTAACGGTATCGGTCCACCGTTAAAATTTTTCGTGACACATCATAGACTGACCTGGTACAAATTAGTCCAAGAACTGGAAGCTATCCCTTATATCACACTTCCATCCACCGGAAGCCCCAGGTGCATAGAAACATCCTCAAGCGTGATCGTGCACTCTCCGCACGGAAGATGGAATGTGTGGGTCTCCGGCCTCCACCGCTCTACTAAGGCAGAAATAAAGTCTAGTTCTATCTTACAATGACCCTGATATCTACCTAGGTAACCAAATCCAGCCTTTACTAAATACGACATTACACGAGTAGGTATAACTAACTTAAGGTTCCTAATAAAAGGATCTAATATACGGTCTCTCTCCTAAAATATAAATAATTACACAAATTATTTTTTAAACTAATAATCATGCATTAAATTAATTAATTAATTAATAAATTAAAACGTTAAAATGTTACAGTATCAGCAAAGTGTTGACATATATGATTTCCATCCAACCAAAGTAGACCGCCTTCCATTTTATATCTGCAAAAAAATTAATTAAATAAAATATTAAACAATTAAAATAATTAAATAAATTACTAAAAAATACTAAATATAATAAAATATACCTTAATAAGAGAATATAAGAGTATTTGAGAAAAGTTGAGAGAATATGGTGTGATAAAAGTGATTAAGAATGGGGGTATTTACAGGTAGGATTAGGGTGTGAACGGGCGGGTAGGTTGGTAATTAAGGGTATAGCGCGGGACAGGGGTCGCACCTTTCTGACGCGTGTCAGAATCACAGGTAAGGCGCGGCCCCTGCCCCGCGCTATACCCTTAATTACCAATTTGACCCGCGCCATACACACGTGTATCCATGTCAGCATAAGGCGCACCGCAGTAGGTGCGCCTTACCCCACGTTGCGCCAAATTAGCATATAGCGCGCTGCAGGGGCGCGCCTTACTGCAAAGGGTGTTAGATCGGGAAATATAATTTGATCGGTGCCTGATCGAGAATATTAAATTAAAAAAATTATTTTTCGAGAAAAAAGTCTATATATTTTATCAATAGAATTGAAAAAAAAGAAAAAATGATTTATTTTGATAAGTGGAAAATAGTACGATATATTATGATAAGAAAGGAAACATATGTTGTTTTTTTTACTTTTTTTAATAGAACATTTTTAATGGAATATTTTTAAAAATCAAAAGATACACGTTTAGTGGAACGACGGAAATAGGATAAATTATATATTTAGTATTCAATTGCCACTTTTGTTTTGTTTTCACTACCCCAATTATTTTTTTTTCAAAATCATACTTAACATTTAATTTTAGTTTTATTTTGGTCACTCACCCGTTAAAAATTACTGATGTGTCACTGCAAGATAATACGACGTAATTAATAAAAAATACCACGTCAACAATTATATTATTTTTTAATATATATAATTAGAATAATTTTTACGTGAACGTGTTGCTTAGCAAATCAGTTGCATGTTATGTGTTGTGTTGCTTATATGTTTTTGGGAAGAGAAAATACATTTCATATGTTTTTTTCCCTCTTCGGCTTCAATTTGTTCCTTTTCGTTTAAATCTTGTAATTTGATTCTACAAAAACAAAGTGCAAAGAACCAAATTTCTTCCCCTCCCCCCATCTTGATTGCTAGAAAGGGTTCTTCAGCTATTTTCAGTTCTTTTCTTCCAAAAATGTCACCATTTTAGCCATTACAGCTGCTGCTTTGATTTCTTCTCTTTATCTCTTGCCTTGTTCTTCAGCCCTCTGGCATTAGCAAACATGTCTGCTAAATCCAAGTAAGTTACACTCACTCACTCACTCTCTCTTTTCCAGGAAAATTTTCGAGTTTTCTTCCTTAATTCCTTTATTTTAGATCAGATCTGACTTGGGTTTTCTCTTTCTTTGTTTTTGGGTTTCCATTTCAAAAAATTCGGGTGTTTTACTAGAATTCTGGACTATTTCAAGAAATGGAAATTTATACACTCTCATCCATCACTCTCCACTACCTTTTGTTACTTGATTCAGTTTCTAAATCGTTTCTGTTTTCATAATCTTGATGTTTTGATCGCTTCTTTCAATTTTCTAATATGTTGTTTGAATTGTGTATGAATACATGTGTTAATTTGCTAATTTGATATTGCTGTTGAAAAAAGTTGTCAGATTGGGAGTAGATCCATCTTTACCTTTTTCACATCACATCATGTTTATTTTTCATCTGATAGTGTGTTCTAAATTCTGGGTTTCTTATTCTAATTCTCAGAAAATTTTACACTTTGAACATTTAAGCAGATCTGGTTTATCCGAGACTCATAGCAAGGCTTCACCAGCAACACCTAGAGTGGCAAGTAAATTAAGCAAGGGACTGAGTAAATCGGAACCTGATTCATCCTCTCCCTTGCAAAGCACTCGCCATTCGATTGATCGACCCTTGCGATCATCGCTTAATACGAAGTCACCATCTCTTAATTTGAAGCCTTCGATTGATCGTAAATCCGCAAAGGCCGCCGCTCCAGCTGAAGTAAGTTGCGAAATATCAGTGTCCTCTGATGCGTTAATCAAGCAATATCAGTTATTGTAACTGTGGAACTAACGAAATTCGTTTTGTTTTGTTGGTTGGTTGGTTCTCGATATGCAGAAACCTCAAACTCGGGTCAGTAAGGGATCTGAATTGCAGGCTCAGTTGAACTCGGTTCTGGAGGATTTGAAGAAAGCAAAGGAGGAAATAGCATTGATTGAGAAGGAGAAGTCGCAAGCGATTGATGAACTGAAAGAAGCACAGAAAGCTGCGGAAGAAGCAAATGAAAAGCTTAGAGAGGCTGTTGTGGCGCAAAAGCGAGCCGAAGAGAGCTCTGAGATCGAGAAATTTCGGGCTCTTGAGTTGGAGCAGGCGGGGATTGAAGCTGCTCGAAAGAAAGGCGCAGAATGGGAGAAAGAGATCGAGTCCATGAAGAATCAGCATACTTTGGATGTGGCTGCGCTTCTTTCGGCCTCTGAGGAGCTTCAAAAGGTGAAGCAGGAACTCTCTGCAATTTGTGATGAAAAGAATCAAGCTCTGAGTCATGCCGATGATGCAACCAAGATTGCTGAAACCCATGCCGAGAAGGTGGAGATTCTTTCAGCAGAATTGGTTCAATTGAAGTCCTTGCTTGATTTGAAGCATGAAACCGAGGCTATTGAAAACAACGAAATGATTTTGAATCTTAAGGCCGAGATAGAGTCGTTGAAACAACAACTCGAGAATGCAAAGATCTACAAGGAGAAGTTGATGGAAAAGGAGGCTGTCGTTGAACAACTTAACCTTGAGTTAGAAGCTGCAACAATGGCCGAATCGTATGCGCACAATGTATTAGAGGAATGCAAAAAACGGGTTGAAGAATTAGAAATGCATATTGAGGAAGCAAAGAAGTTGGAACGATCGGCGTCAGAATCACTGGAATCAGTTATGAAGCAATTAGAGAATAACAATGACTCATTGCATGATGCTGAATCTGAAATTGCAGCTCTTAAAGAGAAGGTCAGTTTATTGGAAATGACAGTCGGCAGACAAAGAGGGGATCTCGAGGAATCGGAAATTCGCATTATTAAGGCTAAGGAAGAAAGTGCAGAAGCAGAGAAATTGGTCGAGTCTCTGAAGTCCGAGTTAGAAACAATGAAGGAAGAAAATATTCAAGCTTTAGATAATGAGAAGCTCGCGGCTTCCAGTGTTCAAGCACTTTTAGAAGAGAAAAACAAACTCATCACTGATCTGGAAAATTCTCGGGATGAGGAAGAAAAGAGCAAAAAAGCAATGGAAAACTTAGCTTCGGCGTTACATGAAGTTTCCGCAGAAGCTAGGGAGGCTAAGGAGAAGCTGTTGTCGATTGAGGCTGAGCATGGGCATTATGAAACACAGTTAGAGGATCTAAGATTGGTCCTAAAAGCGAAAAATGAGAAGTACGAAACCATGCTTGATGATGCAAAGAATGAGATTGATTTTCTTACAAATACCATTGAACAGTCTAAGAATGAATACCAAAATTCAAAAACTGAGTGGGAACAAAAAGAACTGCATTTGGTAGATTGTGTTAAAAAATCGGAAGAAGAAAATTCATCTCTTGAAAAAGAAATCAATAGAATGGTAAATTTGCTGAAAAAATCCGAGGAAGAAGCTTCAGCATCGAAGGAGGAAGAAGCTCAGTTGAAGGAGAGCCTAAAGGAAGTTGAATCCGAGTTGATTTATTTGCAAGAAGCTCTCAAAGATGTCAAAACCGAGAGCATGGAACTGAAGGAGAGTTTGTTAGACAAAGAAACGGAACTGCAGAGTGTCGTTCAAGAAAACGAGGAGCTCCGAGGTAGGGAAGCTGCTTCTCTTAAGAAAATCGTGGAATTGTCGAAGTTGTTAGAAGAAGCTACAATCAAAAAGCAAAATGAGAAAAATGGTGAATTATCTGACAGCGAGAACGACTATGATTTGCTGCCCAAGGTGGTTGAATTCTCGGAAGTGAACGGACATGGAATTGATGAGAAGCACAAGTTAGAGCTTCCAGCAGAACAGCCCGAAAAGCCGGAAAAGGAATCCCTGGAACTAAATGATGGCTCAAAAGATGAGGATCTTCATGTGGATGGTGCCAAAGTGGAGAGCTCGAACGGAAAACTGAACCACGATGAGACGAAAGGCAAAGAGGATGATTCAGTTGAAGTTGAATTCAAAATGTGGGAGAGCTGCAAAATTGAAACAAAAGAATTTTCTCCGGGAAGAGAACCCGAGCAAGAATCCTTTGACGAGGAAGTGGAGTCAAAGGTGGAGAGCATCGAAGCCGAAAGACTTGATCAAATAAATGGTTCTACGGAAAATACCGATGATGGTGGAATCTCACCATCAAAGCAGCAGCAACAACAGAAAAAGAAGAATCCTTTACTCCGAAAATTCGGGAGCCTGCTGAAGAAGAAGGGAAGTAACAACCCCAAGTAGATAACACAACCCAAAATCTGAAATGTCACGTCTTTAGCCCTATTGGCAGGCTGAATGTGTTTTGCTTCATTTGTTTTGTGTGTTCTGGAATAGGACTGAAAATTGAAGAGGCTTGTATTCATGTTTAGTTTCTTAATTTTTTTTTTTTGTTTTCTTAAAGAAGTTTAATTTTTTTTCTCCATATTGGACAGTATGATGGAGATAATTCTTTCTTTCTTTTGGAGGGGTGGTGGTTCTTCATTTCTAAAATTGATGAAAATGAGTGTTGAGTTGTATGTTCTGTGTATCAACGTGGTTTCTTTATGTTTTACAAGGGAATCTAAGTGTGATGCCATTAATCGTTGCCGTCGAATATTGGTATGCATCCAAATGTTTAATCTTATTGACTTCCCTTTAGCAGTTGCGCGGGCTATTCTTCAATTGCAGCTCCAAGCCTCTGATTTTAATGCTATTTTCGCCGTCTCCAATCGCCACCCCCTTTTTCTGTTTTCTTTTTCAGTTTCAGCATATATGTGTTTTTCATTTCTACGACGTTATAATAAAATTGTCGGAATTTCTTGGTTTTGGTACAGCGATGAGTGGATTGTTAAGGCTTGCTTGGTTGGTTTCCTGGAAAACTGCAATAACTCAAAATGTAAATTTGGGCAAGAATGGTTTGCACGTGAAAAATTGTTCTTAGGATAAACAATCTATTTGGTCACCTACCTTTTCCTTCGTTTCTATTTTGATCATTCAACTCTTTTTTTCCTTCAAAATCATATATAACGTTAAGTTTTAGTTCTAATTTGGTGCATATCGTTAAAAAAATAATAATGATTTGATGTGTCACTGTAAGATAGTATTATGTCAGTATTGAAAAATAATTAAAAAAATATCACATCATCATCGTTATTTTTTTAACAATAGGATGCAATAAGTGCGTGATTAAATAGGTAATTTATCCTTATTATTATTATTTAAATAGTTATTTGAATCACGAGTAGCGTGGAACTTGACATCGAGTTTACAATTATCACCAATCCTAGAATAGATAGATTTTTGAATAATGAAATTCAATATTTTAATGATATTTGGAATGGGGAAATATGCGATCCATCATTTATAATCCATGCTTGGTTGAGTATTTGACATGTATATTTACAGAAATGAATATGCCAAGTATGTTCATACACTTGAAAGATCAACACCACAATGGACCGAAGGGCATGGACAATTGTCACTTGAAAATTTCAAATTATCGTATATTTTAAATATTTTCTTTATATTTCTAATCGATAATCTACTTTCGGCCCTTCAATTTTTTTTTAAAAGATCACCTCTTCAACATAAAATCCTGCGTATATGTCCAACACTAGTACCCAAAGCCTAGCACCTGAACTCTTGGTCTAAATGTGGAGTTAGATAACGAGAGATCACTGCAAAACATTGTTCATATGTATACATGGACATAATCTACTGGTTTATCGCTATTGTTATATGATCTTACATCTCTACTCAATTTACTTGGCAATGCAACCCATTCAAAGCTCCAGATTGTGAAGTGAATGAGCTTCAACTTCAGAATGGAGGGAAGTAGAAGCAAGATTAGGGATGGCAACGAGCCGGGTATTGGTCCCCCGTCCCCATTTAAAAAACCCGTGCCCATCCCCGCTTAAAAAACCACGGGGATTTAAACGGGGATCTCCATCGGGTAATCGGGGAAAACCGCGGGGAAACGGATATCCCCGTTTAGCATAAACGGTTATTTAAACGGGTATCGGGCCGGGTATATATATTTAAATTAAATATATATATATATTATATATTTTTTTTTTAATTTAATTTAATTTAAATTAAATTTATTAATATATATATATATATATATATATAATAATTATTTTTAATATTTATCGGGGCGGGTAATCGGGGCGGGGATTACTAAACCATCCCCGTTTAACATAAACGGTTTTTCCCCGTCCCCGTCCCCGTTTAGTATAAACGGTTTTTCCCCGTCCCCGTTTAATTCAGTTTTCGGTTTTCCCTTCGGGTTCGAGTTTTTTTGCCATCCCTAAGCAAGATCAAGTACCGAGTCATATGTCACCCTTCAAATTCGAACAAAGTCCACAAGTACAAGCTCTATTCAATCACATCTATGTCGCTACGGGAGACCATGCATGTCATCTTTGTGCAACAGTTAGAAAAGCTTCTGATATAACCCGTTTTTGCTCATCCAGGGTCTACTGGGAACAAATCCTCAAAAAGGAAGATGCAAATCATCCATTTCAAGTTTTAATTGCTTGAATATAAAAGTAAAAGGTAATAAATGCTTCAACAATGTTGCTGATTTGCTACCTTCACCAAATCTGGTTATATTTTAAAAATGGAAAGAACAAAATATACAAATGGATCTTTATTTCTTCTCTGGTTACCATTTGAGGAACCAAAAACCATACGCAAGTTTGGAACGTTTTCTATTCTTAAAGAGGTTAAAATTTCAACAAGTTCAAAATGTGTTGAATATGGATATGTGCAAATATATGATCTGTTCTTATACTTGTGTTCGGATATGTGTAAACACCATCCACTTGTTATGTGTTAGGCACTGTACTTTATGGAACTTGACTCTTAGAATGAGAATTCTTTCGGTATTTCTTGAAACTTACCTGACAAAAAGCCTTCATATTTCCTTTTAAGGTCTCCACCTGAAAATATTGCATTCAGGTAAATAAATCCAGACCCAATAGTTGCAGAAGATGCAAATAAAGACGGCTGCATAGCTACCTTTCGGTTTAAATGGTGCAATCTTTGCTGATCTAACCAACTTGAAAATATCATTTCCTGAAAATCAACATGAAAGAAAATAGAAATAGATATCATAACTAAACAAATCCTTCAAGCAGGAAAAATGGGAATGAATTGCTCGTGAAATACCTAAAATAAGAGAACAAGGTTCTGCATGCTTTTAACCTGAGTTATGGTTAAGGAAGATGGGGTAACGGATTTGATTTGGCGGATTTTTTCCTATTCATGTAATTATAGAGGAAAAAGAAATAGATAATTTTATACCAAAGAAGGGTCCTACTTCTAGTATTCCTATTTGATTTTGTTGAACCATATTTTAAAATATTTTGATATAACAAATTAAGACAAAATGTTTTTGGACTTAATTGAATTTGTTCAAAATTTTCAAAAATAATTCAAAGTCCATTAAACTATAATTTGAGCACAAAATTGTTTTCTGGATATGTAGTACCGATATTATTTTTACAGTATCGATACTACATGAACAGTACCGATATTATTCGTGTGGTACCGATATCAAAGGTAAGAGAAGTATCGATATTATCTAAGTAGTATCGATACTACCAGATGCAAAATAAGTACCGATACTCAAAGGGCTACCGATACTACTTTACGCATTGGCATCGATACCATGAAGCATAGTATCAATACTGGTCAAGCCCAACAGTCTTTAGTGGCTAGTTTATTTAAATATTACAAAGGTAGTACCGATACTCATTAAAGGAGTACCGATACTCCTGTCCTAGGCAGTTTTATTTTGCAGAAAATTAATCTCCAACGGCTTCAAAACATCCCCCAACTCATTCTAACATATAAAATAAGTTTAAGACACTTGAAAAAGGGTTAAACACCTATCCAATCAATCAAACACAAGAGAAGAGATTTCATTCTTATTTTCCTTTCTCTTGTAAATATTAGTGTTTTAGTGAGCTTAATTTTTGTAAACACATTCCTTTAAGAGGTTTTCTTGTTTACATTTTTTTCTCAATGTAAAAGGGAATTGGTTCTAGCATAGCCTTTGAAAAGCTAGGGAGTTGTAAATGTTATCTCTTAATCATGTAAAAAGAAAGAACAAATTAGTGAATTTGTTAGAAAACCCTAAGTGAGGAACTTAGGTAGTGAATGTAGACTTGATTGAGAAGTCAAACCACTATAAATCCTTGTGCATATTGTCTATATCTTTAGTCTCCTTACTCCCTAAATTCAAAAAGACAATTCACCCCCTCTTAGCAAATTATCCGGTTGTTTAATTGAGCTTCATCGAAATCCCTACAATTGGTATCAGAGCTTGACTAATTAGAATAACCTTGAGAGGATCCTTGAAGAAACTATATCCATTTTCGACACAATCGAGAAAATATCTTCCACCTCAAGCTCGTTCCATATGAAAGACTCTCAACCGATCGACAAGCCTCCATACTTCAATGGAGTCTACCATCATTGGAAGAAATTAATGAAGCTATTTATCTAATCCAATGATCTTGATGCATGGGAGATTATCGAGAACAAATACTCTTCTCCAAAGAAAAAGACGAAGGAGTGGAGTGCTCAAGAACGGAAGAAAACTCAACGAAATGCTAAGCCATGCACATGTTGTTTTGTGCATTTGGTCCCGATGTCTATGAAGGAGTTTCTTCTTATTCAAATGTCAAGGAGCTTTGGAATAAGCTTGAAGAACTTCATGGTGACAAGAAAGAATAACCATCAAAGGTAGTGTGCTTAATGGCTCTTGAAGAGCCCGAAGTATCTTCTAACTCTAATGAATCCAATTCATATTGTTTTAATGAGTTACAAGTTGCCTATGATGAATTGTATTTGGAATTTGAGACTATAAATTTCAAATATAAGAAATTGATTTCAAAATTCAAAGTTAAAAATGATTTTCCTTCGAAAGCAAAATTGGATTTTGAAAAGAAAAATGGAATTTTGAAAAATGATTTTGAGCTTTTAAAAACCAAAATTGAAGATTTGGAAAAAGAAAATCTTGAATTGAATGTTTAACAAAAGAATAAAAAAATCATTTCTAAAAACAATTCATCTATATTAAAAATGACAAAATGTTCACATTGCCATTTTCATGATCATATAGAACATACTTGCCCTATAAAAAAAGAAAAACATTTTAGAATTAGACAAGTATGAGTTCCTAAAGGAACAATGGGCATTAAAACTAACGTTCAAAGATCCAAAGCAATTTGAATACCAAAATCTAATTAAATGCCTCTTGTAGGTGTGTAGGAGCAATGGTAATTAAAGTAAAAATAATCAAATGCTCTAGCCACACTTGATATGGAATGGGTAACCTCTATGCTTATTTTGATTATCTTGCATAATTGGTTGCTCTTTTAGTGTAAGCATGCATGAGTTTTGATTTTAATTAA